GACGGTGTCTGCTGGTGGCCAGGAGCCTCGTGCCCAACGTCTGCCCATGCCAAGGGCCCACCAGAGCACGTGCCCATAGCCCTGGCCACCAGCCTGTGCTGCGGGGCTGAGCCTGCACCCCTCTGTGACCTGGTTGTGTCCCCCCCCGGCACACACAGTCCCCCAGGACCCCTGGGAGAGGGAGCAGGGTGCCCGCAGCCCCTGGGAGCGGGGCCAGCCCTGCCCAAGGAGCCAGCTCCCATGGGAATGCCCTCAGAGTCCCTTCCCATCACCGCGGGGAGTCTCTGGGAGGGGACAACCCCCTGTCCCTGTGCCATCCTGCCCGGCACAGCCTCTGGGACACGGCACCCACCAAACTCTGGGACAGGGCAGGAAGGATGAAGGGGGCTCAGAGAAAGTTGCCCCATATCCCTCACCCCAGGGACCCTGCTGGGGCTGGGGCTGGCACTGCCTGCAGCGGTGTCACCCCCCAACAGCACCCCAGAGTGCATCTCTGGCAGCACAACACACACACGCATGCACACACACTCACACAGACACACAAACCCATACCCCCCCATTTGCACATCTCGGCTCCCCAGCAGAAGCCGCCCGTTCCCCATGACCAGTGGACCAGTGGTGGGGCTACCACCAGCCCACACACCCTGGGGCAGAGAATCACAGGGTCATAGAATCGTTTGGGTTAAAGGGACCTCCAAAAGTCACCCAGTCCAACCCCGTGCAATCAGCAGGGACATCTTCAACTCAATCAGGTTGCCCAGAGCCCCGTCCAAACTCCGGCCGCTAATCGGCTCTGTCCTTTCACTGCCAGGAGCCCTTAATTAAATCATTTGGCTCTGCCCCGCCGGCACCCCCTCTCTCCTGGGAACCGGCCCAGGCCACGGGCCGGGCAGCGGCCACCGGCAGCACCGTGAGCGGTGCCGTGGGGTGCGGGGCCATGGGTCCCCCCCATGCCGGTGGGTCGGGCCGGGCTGGCTGTGGTGGGAGGGAGCATGGCCGGCACCCTAAGAGGCTTGTGCCGTGCACATGAGTGCTAAGCCCGGATGCTGCGGCTTTGGGCACCACAATGGCCCCGGTGTGCGGGGATTAGCCCGGCTGGGGGCACCCTGCCTGGCAGGTTGGTTGTGGGACAGACAGCCAGCCCTGCCACCCCACAGCCCCTGGGCATCACCAGGTCCCTCATGGCCCAGAGCAGATGACGGTCCCCAACTCTCCAGACCCCAAGAACCCCTGAAACAGGGGACACAAAAGCCTGGAGCCGTGCCCCGGCAGCCTCACGCACCAAACCCCGCCATGCCCCAGCATCACCCACACCCCCATGGCCATGCCACCCACACCAGCCATCACGAGGGATGGCAGGAGCCACGCTGTCTGCCCGGGGGACGGTGGGGTCCCAGACCACGGCGAGGGGGTCAGCGGGGCTGGCCGTGGCACGGGGAGGGCAATCCACAGCGCCAGCCCTGCCCGTGGCTCCCGGCGGCAGCGCCGGGCCCAGCACGCAGTAATTTTCCTCTGTTTACTTGACAACTCGTCATCGGCCCCGGCCGAGCGGGGACCCGGCATCCAGGGACCGGTGCGGTGCAGGCAGCGGGGATGTGGGGCGGAGGGGTCTGGGCTGCGGTGCCGGGGGGCTGGCGAGCCGATGGCAGCAACGCCGTGGGGCTACAGATGAAGGGACACGGTAGCCACGGGGGAGCAGGGCGGTGGGGGTGAGCGGGCAAGGGGAGGGGAGCGCAGGGGTCTGCCTGGCCCCCCTCCCGGCCCCAGGGTGTGGGGATGGGGAGGGGGACATGGAGGGGACCCTGCCCAGCGCCCCACTGCCGGAGCTGGCCAGGGCTGGCCCCCACGGCCGCTGGCGTCACTGTGGCCTCCTGACGTGGTAAACGAGCCTAATTGAGGCAAATTGCTGGAGCACGAAGCGGTTTCTGGGAAGGTAAATATGGTCATCGCGTGGCGCCGGGCCCTGCGCCTGTTGCTCCAGCGTTGCCATGGAAACAAGCCCACTGTCATCCCCCCACGGGTGACATGGTGACGCCCCGCCGGCCCCACAGCACCGAGGGCATGGGGTGCCAGGGATGGAGGATCCCCACTGGGGAGAGGGGGGGGTGAGGCGATGGCAGGGGGGCTGGCACCACCGGGCACGGTCCCGAGCAGGGACGGTGTCTGCTGGTGGCCAGGAGCCTCGTGCCCAACGTCTGCCCATGCCAAGGGCCCACCAGAGCACGTGCCCATAGCCCTGGCCACCAGCCTGTGCTGCGGGGCTGAGCCTGCACCCCTCTGTGACCTGGTTGTGTCCCCCCCCGGCACACACAGTCCCCCAGGACCCCTGGGAGAGGGAGCAGGGTGCCCGCAGCCCCTGGGAGCGGGGCCAGCCCTGCCCAAGGAGCCAGCTCCCATGGGAATGCCCTCAGAGTCCCTTCCCATCACCGCGGGGAGTCTCTGGGAGGGGACAACCCCCTGTCCCTGTGCCATCCTGCCCGGCACAGCCTCTGGGACACGGCACCCACCAAACTCTGGGACAGGGCAGGAAGGATGAAGGGGGCTCAGAGAAAGTTGCCCCATATCCCTCACCCCAGGGACCCTGCTGGGGCTGGGGCTGGCACTGCCTGCAGCGGTGTCACCCCCCAACAGCACCCCAGAGTGCATCTCTGGCAGCACAACACACACACGCATGCACACACACTCACACAGACACACAAACCCATACCCCCCCATTTGCACATCTCGGCTCCCCAGCAGAAGCCGCCCGTTCCCCATGACCAGTGGACCAGTGGTGGGGCTACCACCAGCCCACACACCCTGGGGCAGAGAATCACAGGGTCATAGAATCGTTTGGGTTAAAGGGACCTCCAAAAGTCACCCAGTCCAACCCCGTGCAATCAGCAGGGACATCTTCAACTCAATCAGGTTGCCCAGAGCCCCGTCCAAACTGGCCTGGAATATTTCCAGGGATGGGGCATCCCCCACCTCTCTGGGCAACCTGGGCCAGGGTCTCACCACCCTCACGGCGCAGAATTTCTTCCTCAGAAGTGCCTGGAGGGGTAAAGGCCAGGCTCGACCACAGCACAAGTCCCCTGGCTGTGGGGCCAAACCCACGGCGTGGGGCCGGAGAGGTCAACGGCAGCAGCACCCCACGGCTGCACCCCGGGGCCGCGGCGCCTCGCAGGAATACTCCCACTTTATCAAGGCAATTAAGCACCGCAAATTGGTCTTCTAAGTAGATTCTGCCTGCTGCCGTCCCCTCTTCCCACCGCCTAATTCAATGATACAACACATACCTCTCCTCCTCCCACCATTTAATCTAATGATAAGCACCGTATCCGAGTCACAGGGAAAATAAACCTTTGCCGAGTTCGATTTTTATAGGTAAACAGCCTGATTTCTCTGGCCTGCGGCCTCACTCCCTCGCAGGGGCAACCCCCCCGCCACCTGACTTCCACACTTCTGCGCCGCCTCACCGCCCTCACCCCCGCGGTTTGTTATTAGTCTTTATAAAAATTGCCTGTTTATAGAATGATTTTGGTACGACATTTCATTAGAGTTTGAGCGACTGCTTCGCCTCCGGCTTTACAGCGCCCAAGCCAAGAGAAAAACAAGGCAGAGGCCAGCAGGGTTGGGCTGCAGGACCCCTCCTGTACGTGCCCTCGGGCTCGGGGACACCACTGCAGCCCCAGGATGGTCCCAGACGAGCTCTGTGGCATATGCCCAGCTGCAGGGAACAGTGTTGGGCTCCGTGGCAGCTGGCCACTGGCCTGCCCAGCCTGGGCATCACACAGAGCTTGTCCTGGCCACCAGAGCAGCAAGCCAGTGAGCCACAGCTCGGACACACAACACCCAGACGAGCACCTTGGGGACTCTTGCCTGGGCTCGCAGCCCCGCACCGCTCCCTCCCTTGGTGGCCTGAGCTGCAGGGGCTCTGGCCAGCCAGCTGGGACAAGTCACCTTCCTCCAGCCCCTTCCTATCCCCTTAGGAAGCACGGACCTGGGACACACAGCTCCAGATGCACTCAGGGCTTCCCACTCCACTTCCCAGACACGGGGCACACCATGGGAAAAGCCCAAGGAGAGGGGTGGTGACAGCGGTGTCACCTCTCGCCACTGCTCCCCTGAAGGCACTGGCTCCCCATGGGGCCTGGCAGCACCGGGCGAGGGAGCAGGGCCGGGACAGCAAGAGGGGCCGAGGCACCGTCCCGTGTGCCAGAAGCAGGCAGCACACCCCGGGCACGGTCCGGTGATGGGAGGTAAACAGGGTCTGGCTGAACGTGAAGAAGACGCACTTGAGGAGAAATTCTAGCAATGCTAAGTATAGTTTAAATGCCATTAAAGTATGGGGAGGGAAGAGGATCCGAGGGTATTAATAGTCTCAACATTTAAATCTTTGGTCCAGCGACAGCTCGGAGGATGCTGGCTCGCAGGAGGGCTGCCAGAGCCCAAGGGCATTGTGCTTCCAGCACGCAGCGCCGGGCTCCACACGCTCACGGTGAAATCAAGAGCCCAGAGCAAGTGCAAGGGCAAGATCCCTTCTGGAAAAAATGTAAAGAAATAAGAGGCACCTTCTGCTCTCTGCGCTACTTCTCCTTAGGACGTGGTCCGGCCTAAAAAGGCACAGAAAGCCCTGGCCTTTATTGCCAGTGCTGAAGTCTAAAATGGAAAACACAGGGCTTCAGGAACGAAATAGGAACGTTTTGGAAGTCTAAAAAAGGGCAGAATAAGGGTCCTGTCCCAGCCAGGCTGCAGGCGCACACGGGACAGAGCAGCGGGTGCAGGCAGCGAGGAACCACGGGGGGCTCGGGCAGGGAGCAGCTCACCAGGATGCCACGGATGAGACAACCCTCTCTCCCGGGCCTTGGCAGTGCCACGCTGGGCACGGCACACCGGCACCACCGGGAGCCACCGGGCAGCGACCCGCACGCTGCTCTGCCTGGCACAACCGCTGCGGCGAACGGCCGACGGATCGGCCACGGGGCAGGGGCTGCGGCAGCGTCACAGGGAGGCACAGCCAAAAGGACACCAGCTTTTATTTACAACACTCCTCAAGTGACAGACAACAGAAACAAAACAAAACAAAACAGAACAAAAAAACAGAAAAGGGGACAGCATAGCTCAACGACTCAACAAAGGAAAGGTAATGGCAGCCCCAGCTCCCCCCCCCGCACCCCTCCCAAGCCCACAGGTGCTGGGCAGAGCCCCCAGCAGCCCCCTCCCCACTGGCACAGCGGGCAGGGGGCTGCTCCCACTGCTCCCCACGCTCTGCTGTGGGCACAGAGACACAGCTGCTCTGCTCAGATGGGTGAGGATGGCACAATCGCTCTCCCTCACTCAAAGATGATGATGCAGAAACCACCCGAGCCTTGCCAAGAGCGGGGGTCCCAAGAAATCCCCCCGCCCTGGGGCAAGTTACACCGACTACGGCAGCCCCCACACAGTGACATTTCTGCCAGCCGTGGAGGGCAGATCTTTTCCAAGGGTGCACGTCTGGAAAACGGTGTTAGTACAAAACAGCACGGCGCTGCTCAGGCAAGGAAGCCAACGAGCTTCTTTCCGCACAGTCAGCACCATCCACCCCCCACTGCTGCTGCCGGAGCACCAAGGCCGAGGAGGGGGGTGCTGAACGCAGCCCAACACCCCCCCTCCGAGCACCTCAGGGGCACTTGGGGCTGTGGCCAGTGCTGGCACTCCATCTCTTTCCATCTGTAAGGAGAGAGGAGCAGCTCCACCTCCTCCAGCACCACAGGGACCAGGCCCAACCTAAGCACAAGGACACGTCCGACCTCGGACACGACCCACGAGCTCTGGCAGCACTGACCAGTCCCAAGCACTAGAAGCCCAGGTACAAGTTAAACCCTCCCACCAGAGAGCAAGGAACAGCCAGAGTGTGACCTGCCCAGCAGCCAGCAGCACCAAGGGTGTTGAACTGGAGCTGCCAGCCTGTCCCGAGGCATGAGGACAGAACCAGCTCTCCTTCCTTCTCCCCCTGGCCCACCACAGACCCTGGGCGTGCAGGAGGGAGTGGAGAACTAGTGCTACCTCTACCAACAACACTCTGCTGCTCTGCTCTGCCCTGCCGCACACCAGAGCCCGGGGAGCCCACATATTCACACACCAGGGGCAGAGATGGAAGGAGAACGGGAGGTCTGTGAGCCCAGCATGAAGTGGGGAAGGACAGCTTGAGGCCAGAGAAAGCTATAAGTGGGAGACCGGAATCCTTTGCAACAGGCTCTGGGCATCCTCAGTGAGCCCCTGAGCATCTTTGACTTCAGGTAGCTTCAGAGCCAGCCCCAAAGCTGACTGGCTCTCCCGCGGGCTTTTGGGAGTACAGACCAGAGGAGGAAATCAACACAAAATCTCAAATTAAATCTGCTTGAGGACCTTAGGAGACCAGCCGATCCGCAGGGAGGACCCGCCTTAGGACTTCTTTGCATCCTGTGTGTTCCTCCTCTTCAGATCACCCAGGTCGACGGGTTTAAACGCTGCAGGGAAGACAGGAGAGACTTTGGCGGCAGAGGCCGCATCACAGCCCGCTCCCAGGCAGTGCAGGCTCCCCGGGGCCGGCCAGCCATCCCCTCCGGCAGGGCCGGGGAGGGTGCCCCCAGCCCCCTCACCTTTGAGGCTAGGGTTCGGCATCTTCTCCACGTACTCCTCCACCAGGCTGCGCTCGGAGCCCATCTGGCTGCGCAGGTCACGCTCCACGCACTGCCAGGCTGCGGGGAGGGGGTGAGGGGGCCGCTGGCCTCAGGCAGCGCCTGAAACACGGGCCCGGCCGCAACCGGCGTCCCCCGAGCCCCCGGGACCACCCCATCCCCCCCGAGGCCCGCGGCCTCCGCTCCCCGCTCACCCTCGTAGATGAAGCGCACGTTCTCCTCGTGGGCCGGGGTGAAGATCTCGCTGCCAGCGCCCGGGGAGCGCGGGCCGCCGCTCCGCTTGCCGTTGTAGACCACGCGGGAGACGGGGGAGCTGAAAGGGAAAACGCGGGGCTGAGCCCGGGCCCGGAGGCAGCGGCTGGGCCCGGGGCCGGGCGGGGCTCACCTGGCCATGGCGTCGTGGACTCGGCGGCGGCGGCGGTTCGGCTGCGGGGAGGGAGGCGGGGGGGGGCTCGGCGCG